TCATTCCCCAACCAATGTGGGAGAATGAATAATTTGCTAATTAATTTATTTTTATAATAAATTAATAAATAAATTCAATCACAATGCAACAAGTGTCAAGGGGAGAGAGAAGGTTAGGTGAGGACCATGAGGGGGTGGGGGGGACCATTGCCTTGCTTCACAAGGCTTTGCCCAAGCCTTGGTCCCCACCCTTCACAAAACCGCCCTAAGCAAAGGGGTTGTTGGGCTACTACCAGCTAGCACGCCAGCTAGCCCAGCCAGCTAGCACCAGCCCAGCCAGCAGCCACGCATCCCAGCCAGGCAGTGCTAGTCGATGCTTGGCGTTGGTGCGTGCTGGCGCTGGTGTTGGCCCTCGCCTCTCTCGCACATGCTCGTATAGCCAGCATGTGTACTGCTAGCGAGCCACGCATGTTGGCCCCTTGCCTCGCCAGCCACAGGCACCACCCTCGCATCCCTCGCTGCTCCTCTCGCACACGCATTTGCCATGCACCCCACGCACATGCGCCACACGCATTGCTAGCCCAGCCAGTGCACCTACGCACGCAAGGGCCCAACATGCGTGCTGGGCGATGCTTCCAGGTGCCCTCGCACTAGCACACATCAGCAAGTGCCTAGCACTGCTATGCTTGGTGCGAGGCACGCACACACGCACATGCACGTGCGCCAGTGCCTAGCACTGCGATGGCTGTGCTTGGTGCGTGTGTGGCCCTGCCATGCGCACCTATGCATCCAGGCAAGCACGCTGCTAGCTGCGATGGGCTGCCTGGTACTCCTGGTGCTTGCGATAGGCTGTCAGGTGCCCCTGGTGCGCCTATTGCTTGTAGTAGGCAGCGATGGTGCCTAGGCATCATGCCAGGGCTGCGATAGCGCCTAAGCAAGATGCTAGGGCTGCGATGGTCAGCGATGGTGTGCCTAGGCTTTGATGGTGCGCCTAGGCTGTGATGGAGCGCCTAGCACACCTAGTGTGCTTAGGCTTGCGCCTATCCATGCTAGGTGCATGCTATATCGAACTAGCCTAGCATCCACATGGCTAGCCTAGTGTGGTGCTAGGGCTATGTTCATACTTATCGCTTTGTGATTTTGCGACGCTTGGTCTCGACGCCCTAGGCTCGATAACCGACGTCTGTATTTGTAAAACTCTGTCAACTCATTAAATCCTTTCGGATTAATTCGTCGTCTCGGATCGGTGATTTGATTGGGTTCGACCCGAAGGGTTCAGTTAAGATTAAGCTGTAATATCAATTGTACCTTGATATTACTGATCGAAAGCGGCTTCCACCTAGGCATTCCGATCACTTGATCTTACTGAAGAATTAACTCTGTAATAATTCTGAACCCTCTATCAGAAGAATACACTTGTTGGAAAGACACCATTACTTTCAGAAAGTTTATGCATGGGATTTATTAGAAGTGTGACAAAGCTTGGCAAGCTTTAAAAATGGAAAGTTTATAAAAGATAAGTTTTTAAGTTATGAAAAGATTTTATCTTATAAAATCCGATTTTACAAAAAGGAGTGCATATCAACGCATAAGCGCTATGGACGAAGGAAGCAAAAATGAGGGTAGCAGCATCATTTACCAAGGTTAAGAAATATTAAAAGGTAAAAGCTGACTAAAGGCATCCCGTTATTTTTTGAATTGTAACGGTGGGCCTTTTGCTGAATATGACACTTTTGTCATTTGGTCAAAATAACATTCTCTCTCTTTCTTTTCGTTTTTTTTTTATTTCCTCTGTAGCTCCTCTCCTTTATTTCCTGTGTTCCATCGAAGAGACAACGACGGTCGTTCCCGCCGGAGCAACAGCAGAAGCTTGGTGCGGTGGTCCCCCTTCACTCCTTGTTCGCTGCTCCACCGCTACCGTCGCCGTCGGCTGGCTTCTTCCAATCTTCCGTTCTTCACTACCTCACACCTCAGTCCTCACCAACCTCCTGTAGTCCAGTAGATCGACCGTCGCGCATGACCCGTCGTGCCTCAGTGCTTCACAGGAACTCGGCCGTCGTTGCTGCCTCACCGTCGGCCGTCTTCGATGCATCAATGGTATGTCTTATACTCTTAATTAATTAATTAATTTAGTATATCTTGCTCTTATAATTGAAATCCCCAATTTGAAATTTTGATTGTTAACCCTATTTTTTTTATTTTAATGTTTCAATTGTAATAATAAACAAGCTCAATTGCTTATTATTCAATTTTAATCCCCAATTTTAATCTTTGATTTTTTGTAGTCTTCTTCTCCTTTCAACCTTTTATCTCTTTCCTCCTAATCTTCACAAAAATCGGGTACCTAATTCTTTAATTGTATAACTTTTTTATAATAAATTTGTTGTCTTGATTGTTATTTGTTAATTTTAATGTTCTTGTTAGTTAAGAAACTTATGTGTACTTGTTGAATTTGTGAATAGGATGTTTTTTTGATGTATTTGGTTATGTAATTTAGGGTTATCCGCTGAATTTAGCGAATTAGGGTTTCGTTTGTAGTTCATGATGTTTAATTGGAAAGAGTTTGATTGTTGTCCGTAAAACCCGTAAATTGGTAAAATGTATGGCGAAGGGTCGAGTTGTTGCATGTCTCTAGAACTCCTAATGTAAAAATCCCTTCCCGTGCTATATATCGTGACATTTTGGTTGAGCAGAGCCTTGCTGGTGTAGTATAGGAGGTTTGTTTCTCTCCCACAGATTATGATCACTGCATTCCTTAGTGCAGAGGATGGGGGCAGAGAGAGTTTGATGAGGGAAGGAGAGGATGCATGCGATTGTATAGATCCCCTTGACTTTAAGATCAAAGAATTTCTCTGAGTATGATTGTTCTGATAGGATCTACTATTACAGAAATATCTATGAAATTGAACTCGATTACTGAATTGTTTCGAGTACCCGTCTTTAGCTTCAAGTGCCTCTTTGGTTTCTTCTGCATTAGTATTTGAAGCGAATGCCACTTTTAGCTTTCAGTTAGATAGAGTCTTTCTTTACTTATACATAATGGTGCCTTCTTTTACGGGGCTTGCTACTGCTTCACCCTTTTGATTGATATCTGCCATTTACTGAATTTTTATTGCTTTAAAATGATAGAGGTGGCTTTATTTAATATCTGTGAGATTGTTTGATTTTATTTTTTTTTAATGTGTGATCTTTAGTGTACTTATCATCAGATTGGGAAATTTATGGTTAATATTCTTATTGCTTGGTCAATGGGTGGAAGCCCTCTAACAGCTCTCATGTAGTGTTGTTAGTCTTACTATTACTTTGAGTTGTGTGATTGAGTGCCTTGAACAATCATGTCAGGACATCACTTACCTAAGAAACTGGTCGAAACTATAAAGTTTTTACTGCCATATGATTTTGCTTCCCTTGCGTGCCAATCATGCTGGATGATTTGTTTTGCTCTATGTTGATGGGAAATAGATGAATCATACACATTCACAATGCTCCTTATTTTCATGCCTCCAAACTAGTCAATTCACTAGGGACTTCAGGACCTTGAATTGAATAGTTGTTTGTATGAATATGCTTAATTGGTTATTGTAGTAGCAATTTGTAATTCTCTTGTTTTCAACCTTCTGTTTTTAGAACTTGCTGGGACTTGATTTGCTTATCATTCTTTAGGGACTTTATGAGTTGGAGCTTGATCAGAACTTCTGATTATATGGAAATGTTTGATTGTGTGATTGTTTATTGCAGTATTAATCAATACAGTAATTCACTTGAAGTATTTTACAGCCTTTTGCTTACTTTTTTTTAATTCCCATCTTCAATTTTTTCCTCCCAGTTTTCATAGGTGCATTTTTTATCCCAACAATAAAGGGGAGATGTCTCGGCTGGAATATGTTCACTTTCTCAAAACTCATGGTAGCCCGAGGTAGTCCATCTATATGAAGAATATACGTGGTTGTCAAATGTCTTCATTTGTCTGTGGTAAACTGTCATGTGTAGATAGATATTGCTACAAATATTGTTTGATGTTGAAAGTTGGAACATAAAACTCTTTACTAAAGTTGTATACTCCCTCCGTTAACGAATAGTTGCAACACTAGTACTTTTTGCGAAAACCAAAGCAAAATTTTTAAAAAGTGTTTAGGGTAGTGTTATTGTATATAGGGTCATGTGATTAGTGTATTAAAAAAGGAAGGAAGTGGGGGGCCCGGTTTTTTTTTTTTTTAGGAGAGAGAATCTAAAAATTTTTTAGAGGGAAATATTGGGGTTAAAAAGTTTCCCTCTCTTTTTTTACCCCCTTTTTCCCACCAAATTGTTGACTCTCTTTTCACATGTAATTTTTTCCCTCCAAACATTTCACTCTTTTTTAACCCCAACATTTTACCCTCCACTTGAAATTTTCATTCAAGGAAGACTATCTAAAGTCCCTGCCAACAGAGAACAAAATTGAAATGAAACAGCTAATTTTTCCCTCCACTTGACTTTTTCAATCAAGTGAGGGTATTTAACATACAACCTGCCATAATTCTCAATTCAATTCTCATATACAAATTAAAAACCAAAAGTCAGAAATTCTGATTACACCATTTTTTACAAAAGCAAGCTACCACTCTACTCCAAATTAGTCCTAAGTTAGAAGCAGCATCTTCAATCCTTAGAAGTGTTCTGGTTCAGCACAGCAGAGCCCAAAAATAAACATCCACCAACTTCATTACCAGTCCCAGATCTGTGGAACTAGGGGTCATTAGATTGTCAAGCATGGTAGACATGTTCAATGATGGTTTTTTCAGCATTGACCAGATGCTCAACGATGAAGGCAACATGGAAGACCAATATTCAAGCAATGAGGGAACTCAAAACTATAAACACAATGAGCAACATGAAGAGACAACACATAATCCCAGAGCCAAGAAAGAGCTCACTTTCTCCCAGAAAAGACAAATTGTTGATGCATTTTTATTAGTCCAAGAGGGTGGGAATTACCCAGAGGGTTTATAACACAGCAAGCACACAAGTTCCAGGTACACAGGACAACTATTCATAGACTATTGAAAGACATTAAGTCATAAATGGTAGTAGGGAATGTGATTGATGTCAGAAGCAAGAAGGTGGGAAAAACAGGACGAAAGCCAACAGAATACACAGATGAGTTTCTGCAATCAGCCCCTTTGTACAATAGCACAACTGAGAGAAGCTATGGAGCATCCCTCAAAATATCACATGTCACCATCCATAAGTTAAAGAAAAAAGGGAGACTCAAAACACATACAAGCACAAATCACCCTGCACTGACATCCAACCACAAGATAGCAAGACTGAAATGGGTGTTATGTCATCTACTACCAGCTAAAGAGAATGGGGACCCTCAGTTTGTGGATATGCAGCAAGTAGTGCATATTGATAAGAAATGGTTCTACTTGAACCCAGACACCAGGAGGTTCTACCTCCTGCCCAATGAATCTAACCCTTACATGTGCCAACAGTCCAAAAGGTTCAAGGTAAAAGGCATGTTCATGGCTGCCATTGGGAAGCCCGTTTTTGACCCCCAAGGAGTAGTATTACATGATGGAAAATATGGGATGTTTCCATTTGTTTATGAAAGCACAGCCAAGAAAAAAAGCAAAAACAGGGAGGCTGGTGTTGTGGAAACAAAAGCAATACAAAATGTGAACAAAGAGGCAATCAGGGCAATGCTGTTGGAAAATGTGATTCCTGCCATCAAAGATAAATGGCCATCCCACCTATCTAAGGAAATATGTATTCAGTGGGATAATGCAAGACCCCATAAAATTCCTAGTGATGAGGAATTTAATGCAGCCTGTCAGTCAAATGGTTTCAATATCAAGTTCATTTACCAACCAGCTTAGTCCCCTGACCTAAATGTCCTAGATTTGGGGTTATTAAATGTGATATAATCCATACAATACCAATCATTTCCTAGGAACTTAATGGAACTAATTCGGAAAGTGAAAGAGGCTTTTGACTTGTTTAATCCAGTTTTAAACAAGCATTGCTGGAAAACCTTACAATGTTGCATGGAAGAAATACTCAATCATTTAAGGGGTAACAATTTTAGCCCACCACACAAAGGGAAGAAAAGGCTGGAAAGAATTGGCATGCTGCTAGAAGTACTACATGTAGACAGGACTCTGGTTCAACAAGCTGTTGATGAAAGGATTGGTGTCCTTCCAACAAGTGTATTCTTCCGATAGAGGGTTCAGAATTATTACAAAGTTAATTCTTTAGTAAGATCAAGTGATCGGAATGCCCAGGTGGAGGCCGCTTCCGATCAGTAATATCAAGGTACAATTGATATTACAACTTAATCTTAACTGAACCCTTCGGGTCGAACCCAATCGAATCACCCATTCGAGACGACGAATTAATCCAAAAGGATTTAATGAGTCGACAGAGTTTTACGAATATAGAAGTCGGATATCGAGCCTGGGGCGTTGAGACCGAGCGTCGCAAAATCACAAAGCAACAAGTATGAACATAGCTCTAGCACCACACTAGCCTAGCCATGTGGGTTGCTAGGCTAGACTAGGCCTAGCACCATGCCTAGGCGCACCATGGGTACCCTAGGATAGCTGGGCACCATCGCAGCCAAGCAGCATGCCTAGGCGCACCATGCATGCCCTAGGATGGCTGGGCACCATCGCAACCCAAGCAGCATGCCTAGGCGCACCATGCGTGCCCAAGGATGGCTGGGCGCCATCGCAGCCCTAGCACCATGCTGGACGCGCATGGCAGGGCCACACGCACCAAGCACAGCCAGTGCTAGGCACTAGCGCATGTGCTAGTGCGTGGATGCCTCGTAGCATCGCCCAGCAAGCATGCTAGGCCCTTACGTGCGTAGGCGCACTGGCTAGGCTAGCAATGCGTGTGGCGCATGTGCGTGGAGTGCGAGGCTGGTGCATGGGGTGCGAGGTTGATGCGTCTAGTGCGAGCGTGGTGCGTGCTATGCGAGGCATGTGCGCTGCCAGCCAGTGCGTGGGCTGCTGGGGGCCAGCGCCAGCATCGCCCAGCAAGCACTGGCTGGTTGGGATGCTGCTTGGCAGTGCTAGCTGGCAGCGCTAGTTGGCACGCCAGCTGGCTGCCAGCCCAAAAGCCATATCACGGTTGTAAGGAATAGTTTGGGGACCAAATCCACCCCTTGGGAAGCAAGGCATATGGTCCCCCACCTAACCTTGGGCACTACTCCTTTGCACATGATCATGCCACTTGTCGGAATATGATTTAATTTATTATTTATTTAGTTTGGTAATTAAATAAATCATTGATTTTTCAACTCTCCCACATTGGAGGGAGATTGAAAACCAAGGACCCATTTCCCTATAAATACCTTTCAAGGGTGTTGGGAAATGAGTAACCTTGAGTGGAATTAAAAAGGCAACTCTTGTAATTAGAGTAAACCTTTGATTCGTGAAACTCATAGTTTTGTTTGTCCGGGTCTTGACTAACCTTCAAGACTTGGGACGCTCGGGTCGGGTCGAGGGTACGATCCGTCGGAGATCTCGTAGTTTCGGGATTTTGAAGTAAGAGCTCTTCGGGAGCGAAGCACGCTACAAAGGTATAATTCTTGTTCTTAGTCTTGCTTAATTATGTTTATTATGCTTGTTAAATTGCTTAAATTAAGGGGCGGGTCTTGGGGGGTTTCTTTCCGCGTAGTGTCGGGTCACTACGAAACCCTAAAGCAGTATCGGAGCCATGCTCCTTTTAAATTTTCCAATTACTTATTAATTAAGGTGTTTTAAAAGAGTTTATTTTTCTGGTTCATGTTCTTCTAATTAGATTAGATGCTGGTTTTAATTAATTTTAAAACTCGGTTTTATTCCCGATTTGGCAGTTGAACCCAGATTTTGGCTCAAAAATAGTGAATTTTGGGTGGAATCGACCTTCTAAAACAGTTTTAACCCTTTCTAAGAGCTGTCCATAAGCCAAATTCGAACCAAAAACCGATTTTTCTTGGGTTTTTCGTTTTTCAGCGAAAATTTTAATTCTTTTTAAGCCTTGATTAATGCAAGCATTACAAGGTTAGATTAAATGCACATTTGCATCACTAAGCTACTGGTTTTAAAAATATCCTTAAGCATAATAATGGAGTTTTTATTAGTGCTTAAGTTGATATACCATTTTTCACATAAACTTGTTTTTCACAAATTTTGCAAATAAAATGCAATAAAATGTTAAAGCTTGTTGTGAACTTGTAATTTTAAGTTCCTAAAATGTTAAAGTTCTAATCTTTAAAGGTTTAAATGATTGGAACCGTAACCCTAAATTCCATGTTGAACAAAGTTTGGATTTTTCATGTTTGGTTGATTAAAATCCATCAAGTTCAAATACTTGTGAGTAAAATTTGATTAATCTTCATATTGGAAGATGTAATCTTGGTATTTTACACAAGTATGAAAGTTGAAAAATTTTATCATTAGATGATTAGTTTATTTTTCCAACTCCCATTTGTTAAATCCATTATTAATTTTCATATTGGCAAGATTAATTATGGACATAGCTCATTTTATTTTAAGCATAAAGAAAGACCAAATTTTGTTCAAAAATAAAATTTTTTGATAATTTAGGCTTGTGCACCAATAAAATTAAATTTATTTAGTTGGACTTAGTTTTAATTTTAATTTCCCTCAAGTTGATTCTAAAATGTAATTTAGAATTAATCATGTCACACACAAATCGGAATTAAAATTCCGAGCAAATGCACGCAAATCGATGCAAAACCGCAAGCGTCACCAAGGCCAGCCGGGCTGCCCAGCAGCCCGCATGTAGGCTGCCTATGGTGGACGCAAGGGCAATGCATCGTCGCGTGTGGCAGGGAAAGTAGCTACGCGCAGCTGCGTAGGCTTGGCCAGGGCTGTGATGCGCGCATGCTGGCTAGCATCAGTAGGTGCTAGCCCAGCACGCAAGTTGCTCGCAAGCACCAGCATGCGCAGCATGCTATCATGCAGCTGGCGCTAGAAGCGATGCTTGCTGGGCATACCATGCCTCGCCCACGCACCATGGCGCAATGCCATGGGCTGCCTAGCAGCCATGGTGCGCTCCCTCAAAGGGTTATGTTGGGGCGTTTTTGCTTAAAACTTGGGCTATGATTTTTGCATTATCCCGTCTTTAAAATATTTTTGGTAATTATTTTAACGAGGTTAAATACCTCGGTTTTCGGTTTTGCAAAATTTTGACAAATTTTGGGTTATGCGAACTTAATTAATTAGTTACTAGTTTTGTGTGTTTAATTATGTATTTTGTAAAATTGCATGGGCCATTCACAAATAGTGAATGGGTGAATGGAAGATTGTTTTCAAAACAGGTCTTCGAATATGGCAACTATGGGGCCCGACTAGGATAGAAAATACGGACTGCGTTCCGTTATGTATTTTTGTAAATATAAATACGGTCTGCAAACCGTTAAGTATTTTTGTACTATTAGATTAATCTTAGTCGTTGTAGCTAGCTATTTTAATTTTGGCAAAGATGTCTCAAGACGGAAGTTCGATGAAGACAAACCAAAGATGAAGACCCTTTAAGATTTGAAGATTTCAAGGGGTTATGCTAGTTGCCAAATGCATCATTTTATGCCTTATATATTTTGTTATTATATATGATTGCTAGATGCATGTCTAGGATTTCTATTATGTTGTGATGATTAGTTAAGTTCACTTAAATCAACCAACATAGAAACCCTAGGTCCCTTAATAATATTGAGCTAAAATTTGTCGTTCCAAGAACAACACTTACCGAACTAATGCGCGTACGCGATGGACTACGCCAAAGCGAGACATCACTACTTCCCTAGGAACGTAAGGTATACCAGGTATACGAGTTGTCTTGGTTAAGCTCAATGATATCAGTAAGGAGTCCTTAGATGTCGTGGCAAAAGAGATAAAATGTCAAGGATGCATTATTAGATGCGACATTTTATCAAACCGAGAGTAGCTTGGAGCTATTAGCAATTGGATTGCTTACCTTAAGATATTTAATGATTAAGACAAGCCAAGGCATGCTTAACCATTTTTTGATCTTTGGGATCTCGGAATCATTTTATTCTCGTCTAAAAGGGACAATTTTATAAGTGCGTGGATAAAATGCTCAATAAGATTGAAAATATGCATGAACGCTTTTAAATTTCAACTTATTGATTTATGAATGGTTTTTCATTTCAAATTCTTTCAATTGTAGAACAATGTCTGCAAGTAACTCAAACAACAACCAAATGTGCCCAGAACTCCGCGAAAAGTTGGCCTTTTCTTTAAACTTGGTCAACTTCAAGGAATGGGAGGAGGAACTCATGAGAACTCTCCGGAATAGTTCCTTGGATTATACTCTTGATACTCCCATTTCAAGCTTCTTTGCCAAAGGGATCATGACCAATGAGGCTCATGAAGAATGGTCTTCCAATTGCAAAAGGGTCTCACGACTTATGGAAAATTCCATCCCGGAAGATTGGAAGGAAACCTTTTCCTCCTACCTTCCGGACATGTTCCTCAAAGAACTTGAGGACGTTGTCAATGTAAGAATCACCAGGAGTGACAACGGCAACTTTGATGGACTCGTGTTTGACTTGACTAGTCACTCTCAAACATGAGGATAAAGCCACCAAACGTGGGATGTCTTTCTAAGGAAAGGCATCGGCTTCGGACCAAGGTCTACAATGCCAAATTGAGACCTGGCATGCCCCTCCGACCTCATGTGCTTGGAATGACTAGGCTCTTCAAACACATGCAGCTTCTCGGAATCTCATTAGAGGATGAGATGGCGGGGCATATCTTGCTTGCTTTGCTCCACTCGGGCTATGATGCACTTAGAGTGCATATAGCTGCAGGAAAGGAGACACACTCCTTAATGGAGGTGGTGCAAC